CAGGAGCAGTTCTCTCTGTGCCCAGGGTGATGTTACCCTTCTAGAACACGGCCACACAGCCTGGAAGACCCACACCAGCCATCGTATGCCGGCCGTGAAAGCCTTCGACAATACATTATTCCACTAAGTTGGAGTGAAAGCCACTAATTTAAATGTGGTTATTTAAAATATATATTTTAAAAAAATAATAGAAAACAGATCTATGAATGATTGCTACTTATAATAAACATGCAGAATGTCCTGATTCAGATGAAACTGATAGCAGTAACAGAACATTATAAATTTCATTACTGTACATTCTGTTGGCTTTTCAGAAGCCTCTAGCTGGCCAAAGTGAAACCATTCTGGATGACAGTATCTGCATGATTTAGATGCTTCTGCTATCAGCTTCACAATTATAGAACAGTAGCAACTATCGCATTTTCAGTGAGAGTTTCCTTCAGACTACCGGGGGGGGTGTTCCCAAACTGTTTTGCTGTCTGTGAAGGTCCTATGGATTACTAAAGTGCCCCTGCAACGTTACATCGCACAAGGTTTCCTTGGGAGAAGCCATGTCAGCTATCCGATAGTCAAGCTTCCTTAACGTACATAAGCCAGACAATATCTTTCTCACGACAGACACCAACTGCCCCTGGAGCGAGACCTCCCTCCAAATTAGAGAACTGGGGCAACGGGACCACGACAGGAAGGCTACATCGTTCCTCCTGCAAACCAAGCCCCCCGAATCACCCCCTCCGTCTCTCACCCAAAGTACGAAATAATCGCTCGACTGCAGCTCCTTTTCCCTTCCGGCTGCGCGACTCCTTTCCGGCCGCTGGCAGAAGGACCGGAAAGAACAGGCGCACGGCGGAAGCACCAGGAACCCGGAGGCGTCGCTATGGCAACGAGACCGTGGACGAGCTTGTTTCCCGTGGCGCTCCCCGAACTAGCCTGCAAAAACAAAGGGCGACCGCTAGATGGCAGTAAAGAGACACAGAACCTTCTCAAACAGACGTCTAGCACGTGTCACAAGTCCAGAGCAAAAGGAAAGGAGCTGGAGGCTTGATCGGTATAAAATATCATTATAGTAATCAACTGTCCACTCTATGGTTATTAATATTTCCGATTACGCAATCTCGGGGAAAGGCAGGTCCACGCATGCGTGCCGCAATTACTCTTTCCGTATGCCTCTTTCTCTGCCCTTCGTTTAAATGTATGGACTGGGACAGCGAGCATTACTGAGCTTCGAGATCAGAATGCAGGAAACGCCGAGGTTCGGTGTGTGGCCAGTTCGTTATTCCAGGGAGGAATGATGACTGTCAAGAGGGTTCATCAAAAATATTGGGGTCAAACAAACATGGATTGAGGTTTGATCATTTTGTTCAGTGAAACTCTAGTTTGCAGTTGGCCAAGACCATTCCAAAATTGATTCCTTTCAATTTTATCCTTTGCTTTTCAAAGTTGTGGGTCTGTTGGGACAGTGCCCTTAAACAATGACTCAACCCTTAGGGAATGAGTCGCTTTTTACTTCTCTCTCCCCGTTCAGGGAAGAGGTGAGGGACCTCTGGGTTAGCAGGAAAACAGTCAATCTGGATCTTGGCTGGTTGAAAAAGAGAGCTGCCTTCACTTTCTGCAGGGAATTCTTTAGTAGTATTCCAGCTCTCTTAGAAACCAAATAAAGGGGAACCTTCAAATATTCATGTAAATAAACTTTATATCATGCAATATGTCAATACATCACCATAAAAACTCCCAATGGTACTACTTTCCCTAAAATAATGAGTGTCAGGACCATTCTGTACAATACTTCATCTATGTGTACCCCCAGCTGGCTTAAAAATGTCTCACTAACCATGCATCCTCATTCCTAATCCATAGCTGAGGCCATCTGCCTTCACTGATGTTAAAGTGGTGGTAACTCTTCACATCCTTCTAACTACAATATTAAAATACTTCACTAACCATTTTTGAAGGTCATGTCCTCAAGAGCCTTTCTCTCTCACACACACACACCTATCATGGAGGAAATGTGGAAATTTAACTGTAGAAGCAGTGTTTTCCCTGTTCTCCCAGCATAGGTTGGCGGTGTTGCCATATGACTGATCTATGATGCCTCCACAGGGGTGCTGGGGATGATGCTGTCAGGGCAGATTCTGCCCAGCTCCGAGGATCCTGCAGACATACCCATTTTCCTCTGGTCCTTGGGCACTCTTTCCCAGGGCCTTTCAGCTTTTAGCAGCAGGACAGTTTCATTCTTTCATACTTGGTTCTCTGTCTATAGCCATCTCTTCCCACTACTCCTGCCCCCCAGGGTGTAATCCATGGAGCTGATCTATAGGATCAGAGAAGGAACAGCTAAAGAGCTGCTTCCTCCTGCTTCTCTTCCTTCCCCACCCTTTCAAGCTCTGTCAGGGCTCAGAGGAGTGAAAGAAGAAATGGAAGGTGGAAAAGGAAGCAGCTGTTTAGCCATCAAGTCTGTGATCTCATGGAGCTGAGTGACTGGTGCTGCAGCTTTTGATTGCTCTTTCGGCAGTGGGAGCACTAGAAAGAGAGCAACAGTGCCCAGGATAGATGGTGGCAGGAGAAGCAGGGAATCTGCCTCCCAGCACCTGAAGTGCTTGATGGAAGCCTTTTCCATAATGCTGTCAAGGAAACTTCATGGATAGAGTCACCAGGAGCTGAGCTCACCTCAAGAGTCTTTTGGAAAAGGGAGATATATTTTAAGTACTGTGAACAGAACAAACAGCTAGGAAGTGGAATGAATATCCCCCATAACGAATAAAAGAATACCAAATTAGGCAGATATAACTTTTTGTTTCAGCATGTGAATTTAATAGACACCGCCACAGTATTGCGTTATAGAGAGGATAAATGAGGAAGTTTCTATTTTCCATAGAACTGGCAGTGGGTACAAGTAAAGCTGGGTGAGTCATGGGATTTACAAAAAACAGATATTCTGGTTTCTTCAAGAAAAGAAGGAAAGACAGAGAGAGTTTTATGCCTTTGTAAATCTGCACAGTGTAACCATATATAATTTTCCAAACTCCTGTACTGAATAGTTATCCTTTTGCTAACGAAGGAATTCATTATCAAAACCTCCCTCATATTTCTTCCATGTTCTGTATTTAAAGGAATAGAGGAAGAATGCTTAGGTATCTTCTCATTAACCACACTCCCACTCTTCTCATTCAGCACCAAACAACACTACCATTCCATACACATAACTACAAGTCCATTCATCCATCAGAAAGGCATCCCTATATTATTCTCCTTTAGTCCCAGAAAGTTCCCTAGTTCTTCCAAAACACCCATAGTTTCCCCCACCAAAGGCATTATGGTAATTGGAAATTAAGATGGCAAGTGTTTGTGAGCTAGGTGCTTTGCTCTGCCAAGCTAAATTAAAAAGTAAATTTTAAACAATGGATGGGAGAGAGGAACCTGATTGGTGCCACAGGAAATGTCTATGAGTGAAATGGTGCCCATAAGCTCTATTGAAGACTTTCAGTATAGCTCTATTGCTATGCTATTCATGACAAAAAATTCTAAATGTGTTTCAATTGCAAAACGTTTTACATTTGAAATATTTTGCATACCACTAGTGCTCACAACATGCTCTCAAAATGTACTTACTGGCCCAGATAGCTTGATAGCTAACAAGATCACTTTTTTCAATATTACAAGTATGTCAGCAAAAGAACCTACCATTCCTTTACATTTCCTGTGATTTGTGTTATATTAGAAATCTTAAGAGCAAATAACAGCCCTAAGCTGATTACTAAAGCTCAGTGAGTGCATTCAGGTTAATAGTTACTAGTGCTAATGCAAGAACTGTTGGAAACTTTGGGAAAAAACAAATTAAATGCATTGAAAAATGTATATTTTGTGAAACTATGTGAAACGATGTATATATGTGTAAGTAGGTTTGATTTTTTTTTTTAAATCAAGTAGTGTTTAGTTATTCCATCATTTCTTCCTGAATAGATTTTTTTTTTCTGACATGAAAAAAGAAGGAAGAAGCAATGGGATAGGAAAACAGGAAGGTGTCAATGGGGAAACGGTGTTACGTGTCCCTCTCCATAAAATTATGGAAGTGAAGGACAGGGATTGCAGAATTAAATTGTAATCTGGAGGCACTCCTTATGCCCAAGTGGAAATAACAAGTGGGAAGGAACTATGTACGTTTGTAGCTTTCTTTTGTTTGTCTGGGTAATGTTTTCTTTTTCTTTTCTTTATGTATACATACATACTTAACTAAATACAAAAAACTAAATACAAAACAAAATGTTGTTGGAAGCGCAGTAAAATTAATGCTTTATTTAAATTTACGTCTGAGATTCAATATTTTCAGATAGTTATATTCTTTTAATATTTATCTCTATCACATGGAAGTTGACTTCTGGACAAAGAAAATAGACTTACAGCCAAAAGACTTACTGTTCAGCTTCAGAAAGACAAACATATGGCTCCAACTGTTCAGTGGTTTGCAAAATTGATTAATATAGATCAGCTATAGATGACTGGTGAATCATGGCTTCGGTGTATTGATATATGTATGTCTGCAAATATACGTCTTATATGTTTTGAGGTTTTTTTAGTTTTTCCCCCCCTTCTTTTATAATTTGGTGTTTTCTTTTTCTTTGTTTTTTGTTTGGCTATTTTTGACCAAGTGAAATTTATTTACAAATATTATATGTGTGCCTTCAAGTCAGTTTTTGACTCCTGGTGACCACCTGGACCGGTCCCTGCAGTTTTCTTGTCAAGATTTCAGAAGTGGTTTGCCCTTGCCTGCTTCCTAGAGCTGAGAGGGAGTGATTGACCCAAAGTCACCCAGCTGGCTTCATGCCTAAGACGGGACTAGAACTCAACAGTCTCCCAGTTTCTAACCTGGCACCTTAACAACTCCGCCCAACTGGCTCTATTATTTACAAATACACCATATCAATAAAAAATAAGGGCTTTGTCTAAAGTAAAATCAGATGAGAAATAGAACAACCTTATATTGAAGCAACAAGGTAACCTTTATAGATTTAATTTCCATAAACTTCTATATAGATTAAGTTTTTAAAATTGTAGTTAAAAACATTCTCTGTGGTTTCATCTGTTCTTTTTTTTAGAGCAATCTAATTCTGCAGTGCTGGCCCTATTATGGACACACGTGCAATAAATGCTGCAGATGTATTTTCAAAAGTGGTGTCATAATTGGGAAGTTGTTCTGCCTGCCTACAGTGAGTCAAAATGGGAACCACAGTGGAGTCCCAGTGCATTAAATATGCCTAAACTGGGGGCAGGACTCATTCCTACCCCAATGACTAAGCTAACAAAATCCTCTTTGTAACGATTATGATTTTTTTCCTTTACTGTTTATTTCTTTTACCCTTGAACATGACTTTTATGTAGTCCTTGGTTCTTCTGGAAGCATAGTTTAAAACTGCAGTGAGTCTGCAGGATCCCTGAGGTAACTTGGCTATCATTTCATCTCTGAGGGAAAACAGGGTTGTCCATATAAAGAAATGAGTAAATTTTCTAAATCTGCTACGGTCTCCAAGGTGGCTCTTATGGAAACTGTCCTAACCCCAGGTATCTCCCTTGGTGTTTACCATCTTCCCTGCACTCCCCTGACTTTTTAAACTATTTTTTTCCTAGAACAGCTAAATGCTGCAAAATGATATGCTGCCCTCCAGTGCATTACAATTTGTCATGACTGAAATGGCTGCTAGGGCAAACACTGAGGAGTGCAAAAAGAGGCTTTATATTGCATAGCTTAGAACAGGGTTCCTCAACCTTGGCAACTTTAAGACAGGTGGACTTCAACTCCCAGAATTCCCCAGCCAGCCTTGGGGAATTCT